CCCTTCTGACATCACACCGCACGGATCTCACGACCTCCCCTTAAAGTATTTGGAACCTTGTTCGCTACATAAATTTCTTGTATGTCGTGCGCTGAAGAATAATAATATTGGGTAGGGTCCGATTACAATTACATGAACACAGGTATGTCATCAATTGGCGAAGGAATTCGTTGGATATCGCCGCCTACTGGGGGTTTAGTGGCTTGTTAATATTATAGGAATGTAAGAATACTATTTTTAAACCAAACAACTCAAATATTTTTTATTTATTGATAGTTATAGATGATATACAGGGTGACCCGAAATTAGTCAGTCATATTTTAACAGCGTAATCTACATCCTAAAATAGTAGTAAAAGTTCATATAAACAGAGGTCCCGAAAACTTTTCTTTTCCGAGATACAGGGTGTTAAAGGTAATAGTCCTGATACCACACTTTTGTAAATATTTTTTAAATGTTTAAAGATAATTAGGTAAAATTTGGTACAAATACTTACCTTTTTACGCTCCATTTATTGGACTAAACCCCAGTTTTTTATCATCTTCTTAGGTGGGTAAATTAGGGGGAGCTTAGGGTAAAATTGCCCTGTGTGTGTCTGTATCCACCATAACTCATGAACCGATACACAGAAAAACACTAAATTTTAAACTTAAGCTTTATTTCAGCGTTCAATGAAATGATTAGATTTTGAGCAGAGTCGGAACACCTGGGGGGTGCTTTATTGGTGGTCATTTTTATATTTTATGGAATATATCTGTTATTTACGTTTGGAGGAGAAAATTGTTCAAATAAAACTTACTTCTAATAATATTATCTATAATTTTTGTTCCATACAAAATTTTTCTAAAATGGTCCGTATTCGAGAAATTTGACAAAATGTAAAAAAAAAATATTTTTTATAAAAATTGTTCAAATAAAAGTTGTTTGAAATATAATTCTCTATAATTTTTATTCGATACATAATTTCTCTAAAATGGACCGTATCCGAGATATTTGAGAAAATGTGTAAATTTTGAAGAAAACTCAAAAACGGATAAAAAAAAAACATTAAATTTAAAACTTAAGTTTTATTTCGGCCTGACGTGATATGATTAGATTTTGGACAAAGTCGGAACATCTGGGGGGGTACTTTATGTAAGGCCGTTTTTATATTTTATGGAATATGTCTCTTATTTATGTTTGGAGAAGAAAATTTTTCAAATAAAAGTTACTTCTTATATTATTATCTATAATTTTTGCTTTATGTCAACATTTCCTGAAATGGTCCGTATTCGAGAAATTTGACAAAATGTGCAAAATTCTGATTTTTATGAAAATTGTTGAACTAAAAGTTGTTTGCGATATCGATCTCTATAATTTTTGTTTATACATGATTTTTCTAAAATGGACGTAATGGAAAAATTGTAGGAAAATTGCTAAATTTAAATTTTTCAGTATTTTCGTTTTCAATGAATAACTATAGAAAAATGTTTCGAGGTAGATGTATGTGGAAAATGTATATATTTAGTTTATCCTCTAAACATTTATAGAGGTGCTGCAATAGGTTGTACAAAATAACCAGAAAAAGCCTATAATAACTAGATAGGAAAGTCATGTGTTGGATACATCAGATTTTTTGACTATAAAATTTGGAAAACCAATATTTTCTGTATAATAAAGCTACATTTGTTGCATCTCGCTAGGACGCGCCATTATCAAGAGAAAAGCATCTTACCTTATTCGAAAGTGTAAACAATAATTAGTAGGTTTGTAGAATCAGAAATTTTATTTTTTTTTTTTTACTTTGAAAAACCGGTATCTAAAGAAATTTTAGAAAATATTTACAAAAATGTTCCATCTGGACTTATAACACCCTGTATCTCGAAAACAAAACGTTTTCGGACCTATGTTTATATAAACTTTTACTCCTATTTTTAACCGACTTCAAAAAAGGAGGAGGTTCTTAATTCGTCGCAATATTTTTTTTTTATTTTTTTTTTATGTATGTTCAGCGATAATTCTTTAACACGGTGTCCGATTTCAATGATTCTTTTTTTGTTAGAAAGGGGGTACTTTAGGGGTGGTTCCATATAAATTTGGTCAAAATCTAATAATTGGGCCCATGAGAAAATCCTCACTCTTCATTTTTTATGTATGTTTAGCGATAATGCTTTACCACCTTGTCCGATTTATGATTCTTTTTTTGTAGTAAGGGGGTACCTCAGGGGTCATCCTATATAAATTTGGTTAAGATGTGTTGATGGCATCTGCACGTTTTTGAATTCGGTTTTTTTAAATTTTTAATTTCTAATACTTGTAGGATGTAGATTACGCTGTTAAAATATGACCGTCTAATTTCGGGACACCCTGTATATTGGAAATTCGAAATAATAGTTATGACGTAGCGGTGTTCTTCTAATTGTAATCGGACCCTAGGTATATGGATACGGAAAGTGATAAATTGGAGATAGGTAAATTGTATTTATTGTATTAAAGGAACAACAAATATAAGCACAATTAAATAAGTATATTAATATAACAATTTTTTAAAGTCTGTATAAATTTTTTTTTTCTCATAGGTTATATTAAATTAAAAAAATAACTATTAAAACACGAAATGTTAATATTTTCTCTTTTACAACACAAAATATACAATACTGTTGAATCAAAATTTTCTCTTGGCAGCAGGTAGTTTTTGTGACGAGACAGTTATGATGCTTTGCATCTCATGAATTAAAGCTAATTCTCTTTCAATCTTAAGGTGATCATACCCCTTATAATTTTCGAACAAGAATATCTCAAAATATTTAAATTTTGGCAAAATAAATTAAGCAATAATATCTACAATATGCATATATTTTAATGTTTTAATTCCTTCCAGTTTCCCAAAAAAAACTAAAGAGCTTTAATTTTAAAATATCATAATGAAAATAAATGCATTCCTCGACAGCACTATTCTTAATATAATCCCCAAATTTAAGCTCCTAATGTCTTGTTAATGATTTCTTAAAATTCGCCAAAATTAGTGGCTAAAACGCTTCTGGTGTAAACTGTAAATTGTTGCAAGAAACGAATAATGACAGAGTGTACGATACGATAGTTACAAGCGCGTTACACCCGAAGGCAGCACATAACGAGGCATTTTAGCCACTAATTTTGGCGAATTTTAAAAAATCATTACCAAGACATTAAGAGTTTAAATTTCGGGATTATATTAAGAATAGTGCTGTTGAAGAATGCATTTATTTTCATTATCATATTTGATTTTTTTTTCCCCGGAAACTGAATGGAATTAAAACTTTAAAATATAGGTATATCTAGTTAATATTACCTAATTTATTTTGCCAAAATTTTAATTTTTAAACAAAATTACTTTTTGAAATATCCTTGTCCGAAAATTATAAAGGCTGCTGCATTCACCTTAATATACCAACGTACAGGGTGTTTCAAAATTCATGGGACAAATTTCGGGAGGGATTGCTCGTATAAAATTAAGATGGGTGTTTCCTATAACAAAATTTCGTCAGCCCACCCCTTTCCGAGATATCACCCTTAAGAGGTGGTGACTAAAATTGAGTTTCTATTTTTTTCTAAAATTTCAGTAAAGCTAGAAACTTGAAATTCTTTAATTTTCGTGCACTCGCAAAGGACTAACCACGGTTATTTTTTCAATATTCCTGTTACATTATAGGGGGGTGAAATTAGCAACCCTAACTTTCTTTCATATCAAAACTTTTTTCGAGATGAAGTTTTATGAAATAATTTTGTAACTTGAAATACTTGTTTTATTTAAAAAAAATTTCCCAAAACCAATACCTTCATAGAAAAAAAAACTGTTTTCCACTCAATTTATTAAAAAAAAAAAAATGATAAATTAGGCTGTTAATTTTTTTTTTCTTTGAAGTTATTGGTTTTGGGAAAAAAATTCAAGAATAAAAAAAATTAAATAAAACAAGAATTTCATAAAAGTTCATCTCGAAAAAAAGTTTTGATATGAAGTAAAGTAAGTGTTGCTAATTTCACCCCCCTATAATGTAACAGAAATATTGAAAAAATACCCGTGGTTAGTCCTTTGCGATTACAGAATTTCAAGTTTCTAGCTTTAGTGAAATTTTAGAAAAAAAATAAAAAGTCAATTTTAGTCACCACCCTTTAAGGGTGATATCTCGAAAGAGGATGGGCTGAGGAAATTTTGTTATAGGAAAGACCCATCTTAATTTCATACGAGCAATCAGTTCCTGAATTTTGTCGCATGTATTTAGAAACACCCTATATATTACACATTTTTTTAAGCATGCAAAATTCTTGACAATCTCTTTTCCCTAATTGGCACATGTATTTCTCTAGGATAAATTAACTAAAAACCAAATTAAACAAAAACCTAACAACGCCTCAACAACAAACAATAATTTCGCACCTCTTCAAAAACAACTACCTATTTTTCGACACAAGAATTAACAAATTTAACTAAACAGCAGCTACCCTTTTAACCACGGGCTTCATAGACTAGCAGCGTTGCCATATTCACTGGTATCATTGTTGTAATAGAATTAGTATCGGAATGAAAACTATGTTAATCTTCGGTCCTGTTTAAAATTGGTAATATTTTTGAAAAAAAGTTATTTAGAAAATAGTTAAGATATTTGTTATAGAATGAAGCTAAAGAGCCAACAAATTAAATTTGTTAAAAAGTTGAAATTTTTGTTGTTTTTCTTTAAAAATATAAGTTTTTCGCGGTTTAGCGTCATTCTTGGTTCATTTTTAGAACGATTGGCCTGAACCATTTTTTTTACAATTTTTTTTAACTGCCTCAAATGTAAAATTGATTTTTGGAGGAGGAGCGCCCGTCATGTTTGTTCTCAATTTAATTTTTACAAAATATAATCCAAAGTATTTTAAAATATACTAAACTTTTTAATAGATCAAAGTTTATTATAAAAAGTTCAACTTTAAAATGTCATTATATTTCTACATTAGTTTCGGTTATAATTAAGGTGTGATGTTGTTTTTTCTGTTACTAGGTAAACAAAATACAAATGGATCAGAACAAAGGAGTATAACGGAGACAGCCCCAGCTTCACATCACAACACATTCATTCAACATCCTATAATTACTCAACCTGTATATTATAATCACCAGCAACCACCTGTTGTGGTGCAACCTCTCATTACCTACCCTCATCCTTCCAATATTGTCTATTATCCTACCAATGTGATTTCGCCGGTGTCTCCTCCATATCCCCAACAAGTGTTCATACCGCACACAAGCTACTCTCATTCTTATCCTTGTGCTGTGCCCACAGAAGAAGTTGTAGCCGAAGAGGATCCCATAGAAGAGATTTCAAAGGAAAATGGTATAGAAGATGAAGGGTAAGCTATATGACGGTGGTTATTCTAATGATATAATTGATGGGAACGTTCTTAAAATTAAGATATGCTGTCAAAAGAATACAATTCGCATTAATAAAGCAGTCATAAATATGTACTAACAATAATTATAATATGAATACCAAGATAACAAAATACATACACATATTGTAACTACATTATATTCGTACATTTACAAATAGTATCGTTACAGACTGTACTTCTAGCAATGAACAAGCACGCCTGACGGAACCCCATAATAGGTATGTTAACCGACTTGTGCTATTTTAGCACTTAGATCCAAAACTTGTTTCCAAATATGCATACCTTTTAAAAATAAACAACTTTTATCACTGATAGCACACTTCAACAAGTTGTTTATTTTATTTTATTTTTTTTTAAGTAATATTTTATTTAGACATACAACTGCAAGATAAAAAAACTGTAGTTCTATATTTATCAATCATTTTTCGAATTTTCTTTTTATATGATTTTTTGTTACTTATTCCACAGACAACAGAGACTTGTAACTTAATTGGAAAATTTGTTAGGTTGTCCATTTAAATTACATATATGACTTTCTTTCTCTTTTACATTGATCTTTTCATATATTTATCTCTCTCCAATAAAACTAACACCAGTCCCAGAGGTCGCTGATGTTGCTGTTTTTTTGACGTCGACGTATAGATTAGAACTGACAATATTATGTATTTGTGCATTTTATTAAAATTAATTTAATTTGGGCCCCGTTTATTTCTTTGGGTCTGATTTTGTTAGGTCGCGGTGTATTTACGGTTGTGTATTATGATTTCACACACATGGAATATGGATATTTATATGGATACGTATCCGGATGATGAATCCGAATATCTCTTGGTTCCGAATACGTATTATCCAAATACTAAAAAGATACGAATATTCACAACACTAGTGGTAGCGCTACGACTAATAAGTGTGATAGTACAGCGCGGACTAATAGCTGAGATAGTGCGGGGTACAGTGTTCGGGAAAGAAGAAGACAATCGGCAACACGTGCAAAGGTCATAAAGGACTAGACATGGGTAACGCAGCGCTGCGTTGCGTTATTGCGTTAACGCAGTTGTATGCGTTACGAGCGTTGATACACCAGTTGTTACTGTATCAGCGCAACGCAATTTTCGATACTGAGTCGAAAGGATCGCGAGTTGTTGGTGCGCCGTGCGCCAGGCACTGATTCCGTTTTCCGTGACGAGTTGAGAATTTTAATTTACGTAATTGATGCAACTCGTAATGCAGATTACCCAAAATCTATCAAGTAATTATGTTCTTTGCAACATGTCACATCATTTGTAGGATTGTAGGTCGAATTTTATGAATTTTAATCTTGTACACTGTCAATTTTTAGTTCTTCCCAATTTTATTGGCTACTAGTATACAAAACTTATATCCTTTTTATATAAATTGGAATTTTTGTATTTTTTGTAAAATCCGAACACAATGAAATAAAAAAATGAGTGCATTACACTGTTATATTTTCGTTTATTATTAAACATATAATAAAAAAAATTAGTTAAATTCCCAATTGCGTTATTGCCTTGAACACGGTTTGACCCTTATAAAAAGACAGCCCGCGCTGAATAACACCGGTATCATGCGATACACCGAGGTGCATCGACTTCATTCGGCGCAGGCAGTGGTGTGACGCAATAACGCAATTGCGTTAACGCAATGAGTTGGCGCAATAGAGTGCGCCGGAGTTAGTGTATCAACGCAAAGAATTTTAGTGCGTTACCCATGTCTATAAAGGACGAGACGATGCGAAATCAGTCAGGTTTTGACCGGTGGCAGTGTTGCCAGTCTAGTACAATTGTACTAGATCTAGTACATTCTCTGAGAATATAGTACACTCGAAACAATATCTAGTACTTTTTTCAGCGCATGTTTCCATTTAAAGTGTAAAATATATTGGTCAAAAATTGCAAGAGAAATTAAAATAGTTGTTAAAAATTACTTCAGAGATAAAATACTAGACATTTCTCGAGAGATAAAACATTGTTTAAAAATTGCACGAGAGATCAAATATTGTTCAAAAATGGCTTGAGGTAAAAAAGGGTGTTAAAAATTGGTCGAAGTATAAAATAGTATTAGAAATTGCTTGAGGGGTAAAATATTCAAAAACTGCTCTAGGGATAAAAATACTGTTAGAAATTTAATGAGAGATAAAAATATTTAATAATTTTTCCAGAGATTAAATAGTATTATAAATTGTTAAAATCGTGTTTAAAAAATGCTCGAAGTAAAATAGTATTACAAAATGTTAAACCCTTGTTCAAAAATTGCTCAAAGGATAAAATACTATTGAAAAATTTGTTGGGAAATAAAATATTGTTCAAAATTGACTCAAGAGATACCTACTATTAGAAATTTCTCGAGAGATAAAATATTTTTTAAAAATTCCTCGAACGATAAAATACTATTAGAAAATACTCGAGAGATAAAATATTGTACAAACATTGCTCGAGATATAAAACATTGTTTAAAATTTATCGAGAGTTAAAATATTTTTATAAAGGACCGCGTCCTTTTCTAATGGCAAAGTGGTGTTCCGTCAAATGTAATAAATTTTGAATATGATGTTATACTCGACTTGTTGACCAAAAGTGTTCATGGGACCAATTTAATCCTATGACTAGTTTTTAAAATACAGGGTGTTAAAGTCGAGAAATCGTATTTCTTGAAACTACGTAACTTAATTAAAAAGAAAAAAAATAATCATTTTTAGTTGATTTTAGCATTACTATGTCCTAGTCTAACGCAAACGTACACATAAATAGTTCAAAATGTAAACATATACAGGGTGGTACTCAGTTACATCAGGGGGAATTTTTCAAATTCTCAAAGATTCTGATATGAAATGAAAACATGGTCAAAAATAAAAACTTACATAATGTTTACTGTTCTAACATTATATAAACCCATTTTACATTATATGTATACAGGGTGTTGTTAATTCATTCCACAGAATATTGATATTAATATTGAATATGCATTTAATATCTATTAAGCGTTGCGCGTCGCATCAGTTTGACAATTGTAAAGGTCAAAAACAGAATTAAACAGCAATCAATATATCAGTATATCGAGATGTATTAATATTTGCGGGGCAGAAATAGTAAGGGAGATTGAAAAATCAACTCCAGAAAAATACAAAAAAAAAATAAAGTTTAATTGAATTGATTTTTCTATTCATAGAATGGTCTTACCAAATACTACGCGAGCTCAGATCTAGCAGGATATTTTTGACGGTGATTTTCTCATACTTACTTTCATTAGGCAATTGCCAATGAAAGTAAGTATTCGAAAATAACCACAAAAAATATCCGGCTAAATCTGAGTTCTTGTGGTATTACCCCCGATAATTTTTCAGCAAATAAAAAATTCCAGTGTGCGAATATCCTGAATTGTCTGATATTTAATATGATTCACTATATATATTAGAATCTCAAAAACGGATCACACTAAAATTATGAAATTATACGAAGGTATTACTTACAGCTTACAGCTAATTACAAAAATAAATAGATCGTACATTTTGACGGATCGAATTGAAAAATATAGGGTGATTCTGAAAAAGAAATATTTCTTTAATTATTGCTGCATTAAAAACGAATAAGATGTGTCTATCACCCTGGATTCCATAAACAGTATTGTATTCTAGATATTAAATGCATATTCAATATTAATAACAAATTCCCTAATATACAAAGTGTAATTTTTTTTTTAAGAAACGCCTTTCTGTGGAATGAATTAACAATCACCCTGTATACATATAATGTAAAATGGGTTTATATAATGTTATAACAGTAAACATTATGTAAGTTTTTATTTTTGACCATGTTTTCATTTCATATCAGAATCTTTGAGAATTTGAAAAATTCCCCCTGATGAAACTGAGTACCACCCTGTATATGTTTACATTTTGAACTATTTATGTGTACGTTTGCGTTAGACTAGGACATATTAATGCTACAATCAACTGAAAATGCTTATTTTTTTTCTATTTAATTAAGTTACGTAGTTTCAAGAAATACTATTTCTCGACTTTACCACCTTGTATTTTAAAAACTAGTCATAGGATTGAATTGGTCCCATGAACACTTTTGCTCAACAAGTCGAGTACAACATCATATTTAAAATTTATTACATTTGACGGAACGCCACTTTGCTATTAGAAAAGGGCGGGGTCCTTTGTCGAGAGTAAAAATATTGTGCAGTTTGCTAAAGAGATAAAAAAGTTGTTAAAAATTGCTCGAGAGATAGAATAATGTTAGAAATTTATCGAAAGATAAAATATTGTTTAAATATAACTCAAGAGATAAAAAGTTTTAAAAATTATTCGAAAGATTAAATAGTATCATAAGTTATTAAAATCTTATTCAAAAATTACTCGAGAATTAAAAAATACTGTTAAACATTTCTCGAGAGATAAAACATTGTTTAACAATTATTAGAAAGATAAAAAATGTTAATTAAAATTGCTTGAGAGATAAAATAGTATAAGAAATTATTAAAATTTTGCTCAAAAATTGCATGAAGATCAAATATTGTTCAAAAATAGCTTGAAAGGTAAAAAAGCTGTTAAAAATTGCTCGAGTGATTAAATAGTGTTAAAAATTTTACAAAAAAATTTGTACAAACATTGCTTGAGGGATAAAAAAGTTAAAAATTGCTCGAGAGATAGAATACTGTTAAAAATTTATCGAGAGATAAAATATTGTTTCAAAATAGCTCAAGAGATAAAAAAAAGGTTTTTTAAAAACTGTTCGAGAGGTAAAATATTATCAAAAGGTATTAAATTTTTTTTTTTTTTTTAAATTGCTCGAGAGATAAAATAGTGTTAGAAATTGTTAAAATTTTGCTCAAAAATTGCACGAGAGATCAAATGTCGTTTAAAATAGCTTGAAAGGTAAAAAAGGCTGTTAAAAATTGCTCGAGTGATTAAATAGTGTTAAAAAAAATATTGT